GCCTTACTAGTAGTAACAAGAAGCTATTAAAAACAATAAGCTACTAGTAAGAGGCCTTACTAGTAGTAACAGGTGCCTTACTAGTAGTAACAAGAAGCTATTTTGAAACAATAAGCTACTAGGAACAAGTGCCTTACTAGTAGTAACAGGTGCCTTACTAGTAGTAACAGGTGCCTTACTAGTAGTAACAAGAAGCTATTGAAAACAATAAGCTACTAGGAACAAGTGCCTTACTAGTAGTAACAGGTGCCTTACTAGTAGTAACAGGTGCCTTACTAGTAGTAAGAGGTGCCTTACTAGTAGTAACAAGAAGCTTCTAAAAACAATAAGCTACTAGGAACAAGTGCCTTTCTAGTAGTAACAGGTGCCTTACTAGTAGTAACAAGAAGCTAAACAATAAGCTACTAGGAACAAGTGCCTTACTAGTAGTAACAGGTGCCTTACTAGTAGTAACAAGAAGCTATTTAAAACAATAAGCTACTAGGAACAAGTGCCTTACTAGTAGAATACAAACACTTTGCTCTCCCTGTCCATCCATTTCATGCTCCCCACGTGACTCCCTCCGCCCAAGCACTGCCTCCCGTAAGTACCCAGCTGCGTGCGTTCACCCTCCCTTCCCAGCGTCATTTTCGCCCTGTGAGGTACATTTCAAACCCCTTTCCATCCTCGGAACAAGAAGCTACGAGGGGCTCCTGGCCGTACTACTAGGAGCAAGGACGCTACTAGGGGCTCCTGGCATCGCTACGAAAGGGAGCATTCTTACTACTACAAGATATTCTTCCGCATTGCGACCACCTCCCGGGAGGCCCTAAGGCCCTAAGGTATGCGTTGACACGGTTTCCTCGCTATCCCATTCCATACTCAACAATTCAAAAAAAGCACTTTGGCAATTTGAGGCGATTTGCAACTATTTGCAATTGCACTAAGGACTCTCTACTTTGGAGGCGGGAGAGAATGGATCATGAGAGATCGAATTGTCGACAAACACGAGGGCCTTCATGGAAGTTGACTTCTGCACAGATCCCAAAGCGGCTCCAACAGTCTGGAGCCGGAGCTTTCGAGTCTTTGTTTTCTTCTCTTTCGAGGCCGCTATTAGAAACAAAGAAGAACGAAAAGGAAGCAATGTCTAAACTAATATAGTTTGCTAGTAGGTTGCAGGCCATTTGCTCTTATTTTTTCCAGCGTCACTTCGCTTCGAGGCTGCAGCAGTTTGGCTACACAGCCGGGGTCCACAGAGAGGTTTCTCAAGTGTCGCGGATCCGCAAAGGGATCCTGTTTTGGCACGATTTCACAGATTCCGTTGGCGTTGCATTTGGTTTCCTTTTGCCTTCGAACAGATTAGAGAGGATTTTTCCTTCTTGTCTTCGCCGTCCAGGTCGTGATTTTCTCAAATCAACAGGGCCCTGGACGGCAGACCAGCTCTGAAAGGCTCGGGGCAGGGGGGGCTTCCTTGAAGAAGCCCTCGCACTGCTCATTTGGTTCTTCACCTTTGCTTCTGGAAACCCAAAGACAGCAGGGAACTTTCTTAGATCGTTTTCTTCTTCAACCCCTTCAATCCTCAGTTTCACGGTTCGCTTCCGATTCATTTCGGTTCGGTTCCTTACTGGTCGCGCAAGCACGCCACGGTTCCCGTCCGCCTGTGACAACGACCAAAGAACAACTGAAAATGCCCAAAGAAAAGTAGAAACGTGCTTTAAAAAGGAAGGGAACGATCTAAAGAAACTTGTCTAGGGAGCAAAAAGGGAACGAAAGAAGTGCGAAAGATCACGGTTCGAGGAAATGCGACAAGTTACGACGACCGCTGCGTGGGTGCAGGATGCAGTTGGAAGTGGCGAAGTTACTTTCCAACTTCGAGGATTTCTACGACTTCGTGCGGGTAGACCTTCAAATCTTCGTGTCAACAGCCCGCAACCCACAGAGAACTGAGAAGCGCCGGACAGTTTTCGTTCGGTTTGCGTATCTATTTTCTGGAAGAATTCTTTTAGATTGGGCGGAGCAGAAGAGTTCGGTTTTGCTTTTGGGTTCGGTTCGCCGTCAGTGACTCTCTTGTTTTGAGTCACTGTGTCTTTTCATGTTCTCGGTTTGCGCGTCCCAGGCCCGTGGCGACATCGGGGACCCCTTTCGGAAGCCCAACACCGGCGGGGTTCGGAAACGAAAAAGGATTATTCTTGAAAGCACACCTGCGAAGCGGAGACGCCCTCTGTGCGGAGAGGTGGCGTTGACCAATTGGTGAGATGGGCCAGCACTTCAACCCCGTAGGAAGAGTTGAAAGTGCGGGAAGGGTGCACAAATCGAAAGTGTTCCAAGGGTCGTTTGAGATCGTTGGGCATTGGAGTCCCTTTTTTGCACAAGAGGCGTGAAAGTAGCATAGGCCCCTGCGCTGGGCTAAGGGCTCCATGTCTCCTCCATCATAGTACTCCAAAAGCTTGCGGCGGTAGGCGAGGAGCTGCTCCGGTGGTGCCTTTGACAGAGTCAAAAGTTGCGCAGGCATATGACGCAATATGGTGTCTAAGATTCTGCCAACTAATGAAAGTGTCTCCACAATGTCGACAAATTGGAAGCCCGTCTGCTGCATCTTGTGCAATGTCAAAAGAAGGGCATGTGGCCGGCAAAACGCCATGCGCATACAGCTCATGACGACGGAGTGTGTAGAGGTGTTTAAAGGTGAGTCCACAAGTGGGACAGTCCAGTCCTGCCTCAGCCAGTGGGAGATGATTCTCCATCTCTTGATCCCCAAGGGCCTGCAACCATGCGTCAACAAGGGTCAATGATTGTTGAAGTTCATCAACGCACAACGTGTGAATGATGTCATCGGCAATGAGAGTTGGAAGTCGAGCCTCACGGCGTGCCAGTTGAGAGGCCATCCGCTCCCGAAGCACGAGGACCGGGCGCTGAAGTTGGTGGTCCCAAAGAAAGTCCAAGCGCTTGTGGTGAGTCAAAAAAGCTTGATCTCCAGTAACTTGTCTCAACATGGGAAGCAAGTTTGTTGAAAAAATAGGAATGGTAGTGTTGTCCACTCCAACGGTGTAGGAGTGATTGGAGCTCAGTCCACAGATTTGGCAGCCCAGGCCCGCCTCTGCTAAAGGAAGTGGATCACTGACGTTGGATTTGCGGGCGTCCTCAACAATCCAGGAATCCAAAATTAGTGGAGTGTGTGCGTGGAGGATGTCTGCTGAAATCAAAATGGAGGGGTTCTCCTCAAGCCTCTGCAGCGTGGTGACCACGCGCTGGCGCAAGAGCTGAATGGGGCGATCCCACTGTGGCAACGCCACGGTTGCTTGTGTGCCACATGAGTTTGAATCGAGAGGTCAGCCGCAACGAAACGAAGTTGTCTCGTCAAGGCCTGGGCCAGTTGCGCGATTGTTGCAGTGTCAAGGCCAATTGCTTCCAGCCCATAGATGGCAATTGGACACACTCAAGTTTTCCAAAGTTCATATCGTTGAACAAGTGGCAATATGTTCCTTTTGAACCAAGGATGCACTTGTCGAAACAGTTCCTTGCAAGATCTGAGTCGCGGGAATCTCAAAGTCTTCTGATCAGCACCAGTGAGTTGAAGTAGCTCGTGTTGTTTTTTGCCTTCCCAATGCAGTTCTTTTTGGCCCAGTCAGCTGCTTTGCCCTTCACGGTGAGGAGCGCGGTCAACTTGTTCATGTTGATGATCACGCCATGTGTTTTCAGCGCTGCAATCACCATGCCCAGGTATTTGAGCCCAGTTAAACAGGAGCGCTTGTCGCGAAAAATGATACACGCATGACCATCATCGGCATAGGATGCGCAGTGAGAGCGCACGCGCTCACGATTTGTCTGTTGCGCGGTGTTCTGCAAAATCAAAACAATGAAGCAGCTCCAGAAGAATGGCGCTCCTCTGCGACCCAGCGAAATGTTTTCAAGGACTGTGAGAGGCCCTTCCACTGCAGAACATATTCTGTGTCAACATGCCAAGTCAAGAACATCGATCAATTGCGTTGGACTAAGGAAGTTCCAAATACCGCAGAGCTTGCCACAGCGATTCTCGTGGCATGGCATCAGAAAAAGTTGACATCCGCCAATCAGTTCAGGATGGTGAACTGGTGCTCTCTCACTTTGGATGCATCATAGCACCAAGCCTGCATCAGGCGCTGGACTTGCTGCAAGTGACATTCATCCCGTCCGATAGCTTCAATAGCTTCCACTCTTCCTCTGTAAGGCAAGTAGGCGAACGGTGGAAACCAGACCAGCCTGTCAAAACAAAGTTGCCTTGCGCGTTGAACTGCGGACTTTGCAGTGCAATGGGATGCGCGGGTACACTCTTCTGAGTTGGGATATGTTGAAGCTCCAGGATGCTGAATGGCAGTTGTTCCAGTGAAAAGGATGAGACTGATAGTCCTGGCCCTGCGTAGGTCTGTGCCATATGATCCAGGATCCACACCAGCTTCTCCTGTGGTGACATGAGAAGGCCATCATGTTTTCGATGCTGAGGACGCTTGTGATGTACCTTGGGGTTTGTTGGAAATATCTATGTACTCTGCTGCTTGCCCAATGATCCCCTGCGTTGAAAATAATCTCCTGTATGCGTCTCTGTCGTCTGACACTGTGATGCCAAGTCTGAAAGACACTTCTGGGCCAGGTGACTGAGGATGCTTCTCGTGCTGAAGGAGGAGGTGCTGCGCCATTTCTCGAATTTGGGTCAGGTTGCGGTTTGGATTAAGCTTGGCCTATGCCCAGTTTCATTGTTTCGCCATCCCCGCCATTTGTGTTGGGAATATGATCAGGTTGGTGAACCATGGAGCGCAGGTAAACTGGGCGACAAGTGAGACTGTCTCCCTCTCTATGCTTCACCAGTGCGAAATTAGTTCGCGATTGCGCATCGCAAGGTCCAGTGTTTGTAGGTCCAATTGAAGTGTCCCAGGTTCAGGTGCACACTACCTCCAAGCCATGTCGTGGGAGAAGACGAGCAAATTGATCTGCATCTGGATGTCTGGAGCCTTGAGATCTGCCCCACGATGTGCTGAAATCTGAGAGGCCAACACTGTTGCGCAGGTGTTTCAGGGATGCAATCACCAGCTAGAACCCAAATATTCCTATTAGGCAGGACTTTCAGGAGGAGGTCACACTCGTGCCAAAAAGCCTCTCGATTTTGTTTGGTCGCGGCGTCCTGCGCGCTCCAAACTTGTTGATGTGCATTCACTATGTCGATGTTCGTGTGTGGCGTGTAGAGTCTGACATGTAGGAGCCTGCCAGTAATAACGGTTTTCCATGCAACTTGGCTCATGTTACAGAACTTCTTTCTGATGATCGTGAGGAGTCCTCCAGAAGAGCCAGCAGGCGCACGTAGATATATAGAAAGACATCATCCTGCCAGTCTCCAGCGAAGGTCCATCTGGTGACATGAAATCAATGTGCTGCTTGGATAGCTCTTGAGAATATCCCATTTGTGAACGCCCAAGGCTGCAACGTTCCAGGTTAGTCTAGTGAGTCTGTTCTTCTTGTTTTTGGCAGGAGGATGTTGATTTGGTGGAGGTGGTTCCAAGGTTGTAAATTGGGAATCATCAACTGGATGGTCATATGAGACTCCTAGTTGCGCAGGTGTGAAAAGTCGTCCTCTGCACCATGTATGTCCATGCGAAATGGCCCGTTTGACTGCTTCAAAGATATGCTAAGCTCGTTCCCTTATGGTAGCTTCTGGTGCCTGGCGCAGGACTCATGTAGTCAGGTCCTGTGCCAGGTGAGTGCAAAGAGAACAGGTTCTTGATCTCCAGAATCGGTGCCTCCAGGTCGGAGCTCTGATGGTGAGTCTCCTTGTTCAGCCTAGTTCATATCCAAGTACACCAAAGCAAGATCAGACGCAAGATGATCAGGATCAGGAGCGCTGGAACAGGAGAGGAATGATCAAAAGCAAAGCTCCAGAACAAAGGCAGCAGCAGCGCCCGCAGCAGTGGATCAGATTGAGGCAGGCCACAACCAGGAGAGCCGGTCTTCATGGAAAAAGATCGTCCACCGAGGGCATGGGCCAGCTCCTTTGAGCATGGCCCTCATCATCATCATCATCATCATCATCATCATCATGCAGGTGTACACACGCAAACGGTGCAACTGCCACAACACACCTACGTAGATACAGGTGTTTGCACATAGGTGTGTAGATCCAAGTGTTTAGATACAGGTGAAGACACCTATGAAACCTACCTGTGCAACCATAACTTCGACATTTGTATTGAACTTTTCTTACGGCGGCGGGCTGGTCCGGCCGATGCTCAGGGGTTCTTACTTCAAGTATAGGAAGAGACGCATGTGTGCGCTTTCGAGCTGTAGGGTGCCGCTGCTGTGTGCCCGTGCGAGCTTGGGCGATGGTGCCGCTGCTGTGTGCCGCTGCTGTGTGCGTGCGTGAGCTTGGGTGCTGGTGGCTGCTGCGCGCGACTGTTGTGCGCGCGTGGGAGCTTGGGCGCTGGCGCCGCTGCTGTGTGCTGCTGCTGTGCGCCGCTGCTGTGTGCGTGCGTGAGCTTGGGCGCTGGTGCCGCTGCTGTGTGCGCGTGGGAGCTTGCGTGCTGGTGCCGCTGCTGTGTGCTGACGCTGCTGTGTGCGTGCGCATGGGAGCTTGGGCGCTGGCCGCTGCTGTGTGCGACTGTTGTGCGCGTGTGGGAGCTTGGGCGCTGGTGTGTTTGGGAGGTTGGGCATGCCGCTGCTGGTACGAATACTACAAGCGGAGCGGGCCCCGCTCCCCTGCGCGAGCAGGCCCCGCTCCCCTGCGAATCCCGCTCCGTAGAAGGCGCTGCAAGCGTACTCGTAGTCGTAGTCGTAGTTGTAGTCGTGGCCCTAGTCGTAGTAGTAGTAGTAGTAGCAGTAGTAGTGGTAGAAGTAGTAGTAGTAGTAGTAGTATTAGTAGTAGTAGTAGTAGTAGTCGTGGTAGTGGTAGTGGTAGTGGTAGTAGTGGTAGGGGTAGTGGTAGCAGGTAGCAGTGGTAGTAGTGGTAGTAGTGGTGGTAGTGGTAGTAGTAGTGGTAGTGGTAGTAGTAGTGGTAGTGGTAGCGGTAGTGGTAGTGGTAGTGGTAGTGGTTGTTGTTGTTGGTAGAGACAAAAACAGTTGCCCAACATAGTTGTCACATGTTGCAAGTCAGGGATTTCAAAGGGACACTGTTAGGGATAGTCGAAGGTTTGGAGAGATGTTAGTAGCTGGACCTCTTGTCGTTGTGGTACTCAAGTCTTGGTTGGTCTGCTTCTTGTTTTTTGATGTTTTTTGGGATGTTGTTCTGGAGGGGGGGTCAAAAAACTAGACGACGGTTGGCCCGAGAGCGAGACATGTAATTGTCCAGCGCTGTCGAAAAGATGTATAGAAAGAGAGAAAGAGAGGGTGGATGTGAAGGAGTGACAGTGTGGATGTGCAGGTGCGATATAGATCTGTAGATGTATGGAGGTGGAGAGGTAGATCTGTGGATGTGAGCGTGCGAAGATGTCAATGCACAGAGACGAGAGAAAAGATATGTAGAAAGAAAGAAAGA